GGCCGCGTTCAGCAGGCACAACAGTTGTGTCTGCTGAACGCGACCAATGATTTCTTAACATGATTGGCTGGATCTGAAAGTATTAACCAATCATACTGAGCGCTCACTCAACAATTGTGTCTGCTGAACGCGGCCAATGTTACCGATCGGTGCGTGGTCGAAATAGTATTTTGTTCCTTTCAAAGATGGCTCTGTTTAGCCAGACACAGGGCACGGCAAGGCGAAACGCGAGAAACGCGATGTGATACGGTGCGGCGCGGTTGTACTCCGTACGTACATACGTGTTACGTGCGCATTACTGTCTCGCAGAGTGCGGAGCGCGGAGTAACGAGTGCTGGAGTGGATGCGAGACCGTTCGAGAGATGTATCTTCCGCCGAGCTCGGGTGCGCCGTCGCGCACCGTATTCGTCGGGTCTCACGTTTGAGCGGACTGGTCGCCGGTCGGCCGATCATCGGGGGAATCTCGAGACGGTCCTCGCGTATCCTCGAGATAGAAACCCGTAATGCCGTAACCGCCGATTATAGATTAGGATAGGCTCGACGATACCGCCGTGGCCGTCGCGGAGTTTCGTCAGTTAAGTTGCGTACCGCATTGTGACAAAGTCACTCGATTGTACTCCATCGATTGTACTCTCTGTAATACGCACTTAGCACTTGTCCTCGTACGCGACTCGGTCCGAGAAATGTGTACCTATTCACCGATTGACGACGTGTCTTAATCGTAAGTGTTCGCCCGCAGTAAGCGAGCAACAGAATGGTGGATCGTAATGAAATATATATATATATATATATACGTATATATATGTATATGCACTCACACACTACGCGCGCGCGCGCGCGTGTGTGTGAGATTGTGTGCGCATGAAATACGCACACCATGAGCACGCGCGCGCATGTATCTTCTACATTCGTAGTACACATACACATAATATACCGTAAAAGACTTGCATTCTTGCTTACTTCACGCGTATCCGATTATATCCTTTTGTGTGGTTTTAATCAGCCTCGCGATAGCTGCGTATGCATTGGAAAGTAAACGCGTGCAAATTGACAATGTTCCATTTAGAGGAGTAAGGGGAGAGAAGTACACATCAAGATAATGAATAGAGGAGAGTCCTCTGTTATGAGTCAGTAGGTTTTCAACGCCCAAGTTCAATTACAAATCATTCTTTTCGCAACAATTGCACGATCTAACGATCAATTTTCCACTGAACGGACTTGACGCCAAGGGCAAAAATTAATTCATCGCGGGACCAACAGACTATTAACTTGGCAGAAACTCTGCTATTTTATATTAGAAGCCTGTCCCATAATAGGGGACTTTATATTAAATTTGTACACACGCGCGCATATAGTGATAACATTTTTTGTATTTGGAAAACTGTACGTTTCACAGTGTAATTGACACCGAGTACCTTGGAGTACGCCAGGTACGAAGCGTAACTTTCATATAAAATAGGGTCTGAAGGAAGCAACGACCAATCTGATAAAATTTGTAACAATTCGGCGTAATACAGTGTCCAGTGGAATATCGCCAATTTGAAGTTTCGAATACAATGCAAAGATGCACAAATTGAAACTGCGTGGTAGATGCATTTCGCGAAACTGAAAACAAGTAGTCGCAATCGAAATTATAAATGAGAGAAATATTTAAATTGGACGCAACATTGATTAGTTACAACTTTGCTGCCTTAGTCTATATCTGTATACATTTATCCTTAGCTAATCGTTTGCCTGTTAATTTGGCGCCAGAAGTGGATTCTCCTACCTCAAATCATTGCGATTGAAACAAAAGTTGTAGCGAGGGAAACTCGAAATGGAATCTGCCATTACTGGACGAAGGCGAACTGCTACACGGCATTCTGCGGAAGATCAAGCGCTTGATCAAATAGCCAAGGAGGTACGATCTTGATGATAAAATGTATCTCGGTGACAAATTGATATGCACGAACATAAGGTTGTATAAAGTTACATCAGACATCGTTTGTACAAATTAAAAGTAGCACAGTTGTCCGGCTGTTCCTTAATTTAATTGTACAATGCAGTTGTCCTTTTGATATGCATAGAATATCTAACAATATGTGTGCACACATGCGCGCGCGTACATGTGTATGTGTATGTGTGTTAAGAAATGAAAAAAATTGGGTAAAATTGAAATACAACCTTTGCGAAAGAGATCAGTTGATATGTAACTGGATGTATTCGGATAAAATGTATTACTTATGTATTCCATATTTTCTTGTTATTTGTTAATTTGTTAAATCAGTTATTGTATCTCATTATAGCTCGATTTGTACAGCAATTATACAAGTAATTTGTCCTTTGATAAATATAAGTGTTACATAAAAAAATCATGGACGGAGGAGCATATAATCCCTTTTTGTTTTGCTAATTATTCTAATAGATGTTTTGTAATATAGTTATGATAAACCCAATATAAATATACATATCTTTGATAATAAAGTGAATTTTCCACGTATGTACTTTCAGGCAGAAGCAAGACTGGCTGCTAGGAGACAGGCGAGAGCAGAAGCCAGAGAAATACGAATGCGGGAGTTAGAAAGACAACAGAAAGAGGCAGAGGAGAATGCTGATAAGGTTTACGACATGTGTGCAGGTAGTTTGGGAAATTAATTGCATTTTGAATTTTATGCACTATATTTTCATATCTGCAATGACTTCTAAAATAGCTTCCTCTGTGTATATGCACAAGGTGTTTTGCAAGTTATGACAAACTTCAGGAGAAGGGGTAGAGGGAGGGTAGATTTTGTCGAGCGTATTTTCAAAGAGTTTAGTAATCGATGCTTTGCAGGTGCGATGCATATATATTCAGATTGAACGCCATTGTTGCGGCTATTTATAGCCAAGCAAAATTATAAATACATCAAAACTTACGTTTCTCCCAGATGTTAGAAAACATTTAGTGCTCCAACACTTGATAAGACTTGCCATCTCTTAAAGGTTGTCACATCTTCTAAATTATTGCGTACGTGTATACACCTAACACACTTATCTACATATACATGCACACAAATATACATATGTATATGCATTTAATAATATCTTAACAATTGTGTGTGAAAGGGAAAAGTGGTGCAGAATGTTTTTATCTGATTTGGTCTCAGGACTATGCTGTGAATAGTGCCCTAACTTTTGTAACAGCATACTAGTGTATACTGTGTTGTAAAAACTCCAAGGAGATTTCAAGATCAGCAAGTTAAAACTGGAGCTCTATTGCAGTAGCAGTTTCTTGAGTCCTAATCAAATGATAAAGTTCTGTGCCACTTTTTGCTCTGATAAAGAATTATCGTGATATAGTACGTTAAATATTGAAAAACTTATCAAGTTTTCTTTTAATATCTCAAAAAATATTAAGTAAATGAAAAATGTCTCAGACAAAAGTTGGTCAAATTAATCTACACAAAAATATGATACAATATATGTGTGTTTGTAGCTGATGTAAATAGAACTATGAGAGTGACTCCGGATCCAGTGCGTACATCGCGACTTCTTACAAATTCCAACAATTTCCAATCGAGTCGTAGATCTTCAGAAGATTCGTTGGAAGACGCAGGATTAAGCAGAGATATAAGGGTATATCTACAAATCTTTTCAGTTTTACTATTCAATTTTCAATGACACTAATACAAAGTCTTTTTATATATATTTATATGCAGCTGGAATTAAAGGAATTTGAGGAAAAGTTCAGAAAGGCAATGATAGCTAATGCTCAGCTAGACAATGAAAAGTCATCATATGCTTATCAAGTGGATTTATTAAAGGATAAATTCGAAGAATTAGAAGAAACCACTGCACAATTACGTAGAGAGTTGAGAGAGAAAAATCGAAATGTTGAGCAATTAAAACGGGTCAGTCAAAGAATGAAGGAAGATTTAGATATTTGCAAGGCGCAGTTACTAGAAAGAGATACACTTATACAAGTACGTATATTGAGTACAAATCAAATGGTAAGATTGTTTATGAAAATGTATCTTGTAATCTTTGTTACATAAACCTAAAATAAATGATAATTTAGGAAAACGGTTTAGTCATTATTGACAATATGGAAAGCGAAGATGAAAATAATGAAAATGTTGAAAATGGATTGTGTCATAGAAAGAGGGTACTAGTCAGTACAGAAGCTGCAGAGTTATTAGAAACAGCTGGTACAGGTTCACTAGGTATATTAATTAATTGAGAAGTTGAACATTTATTACTGGATAAAATTTTATAATGTAGATCTTTTAGATATTCGACTGAGAAAGTTTGCTTCCGAGAAGAAGGAACTGCAAGATGAAATTCGCCATTTACGATTGGAGTTAGAAGAAACTAGAAATCGTGTGAGACCCGAAAAATCATCTGGTTCATTATTAGGTTAATATATAGGTTCATTTTAAACACCTCAGTTATATATGTAATCCTTGATATTTTATATTACAATATAAATGTAATATGCCTTTTATATTAATTTATGTATATTTATATTAATTGATGTATTTGTTCTAACAGGTTATTTATCAGATAATGAGGATACTCAACGTGAAGCAAATAAATTATTGGCTGATTATAAATTTAAATTACAAAAAGCGGAACAAGATATGTCAACGCTGCAAGCGACAGTAGCTAGATTAGAAAGTCAAGTAATTCGTTATAAATCAGCTGCAGAGGCATCTGAAAAAGCAGAGGATGAGTTGAAAGTAGAAAAAAGGAAATTGCAAAGAGAAGTATGAATATGATTTTTATTGCAGATAAAAAGATCTGCATATATATCATACAGCAATTTACCTAATTATAGGTATACTTATATAGGTTTTAATATTTTTTTATAGGTAAGAGAAACACAAAGTCGTGTAGAGGAATTGGAGACAGCAAACTCTCATCTACAAAGGAGGTTGGATAAACTTAAAAACGCTAAATCAGCTCTTTTAAAGGAGCTTTGACAGATTAATGTTTGCAGAGATGTACAATAAGTTTGTTACTTATATACCTTGAACAAATCGTGATCTAACGTTGCCTCCATATTAATATCCCTTAACATTTTGAATATAATTTACAAGGGCAAAGATTACGTATTACCGTTATAACATTTCACACTGTAGCGGATGTCATCTAGACACAAAACCACAAAAAATTATGAAAAAGATCCCTACCTCTTATATTTACCAATCTTTGATACCAACTTACTTTTTGCATTATTCTTTAATGGATTAATAAGGCACTTTTTAATGCATTTTACGTTACGTTTTTGTATACATTTGTAAGCAGGTATAGAGCTGATTCAATACTTGGTACTTTTACATAAGTAGCAAGTAATAAAATATATTCATTTTTGTCTTGTTGCAATAAGTTTGTGAAAATTATTTTAAATTACTAATATATATTTGTAAAAGCACGAAATATATTTATATATTATGACGAACATGATATGAACGTCGAATATTTTTTGCCATATTAAATTTAATAGAATAGAATATTTCAGTTTCTTCCTTTACCTATCCTTATCTATTGTGATAAAAAGCATAACAAATATTTTAACAATACTATTAATCAAATTGTTGCATTTGATATGAACTAAAAATGTAAAATTGTCTTCAGAACTGACTTTTGTAACAGAATATTCGTACATGCTTTTATTCAGCAAACTGATGTAAAGTAATATACATACATGTATAACGATGTGATCTTTGTACACATTTAAAATAAATTAAAAATATATTGTTGACATTTTTTCATTAATACATATATTTTATATTATATAAAATAACTTTGCAGGAGAATATTTAAGTTTATTTATAGTAGCAGTAATATTAATTTGTTGAACTTATTACATACATGGAGTACAGGAAAGAAATTAATCTAAATTAAAAATATCGAATAGAAATGTATCAAAAATCTGCAGGATATTAAAAAACAGAAAAAGGGATTTATAGCACTTCATGCCATATGTAACTTGCAACGGATAATAGAATTTGTTACTTCTACATCTATGTGCATCGTACGCAGTATATTATAACGTTACCACTATTAAAGATTTTGTTAATATTAACTATTAAGATATTAACGCTGTTCGTAAAATATATCCATTCTTCTTGTTATAAAAACAACGTATTCGTGTAAATATACGTGAGTCACTATCGTGTCTCTTGATTTACAAGTAAGAAAGAAAAGTGTATAAGGCAGGAAGTTATCAAAAGATCAGTTATCTGCATTATCTATTTATATCATAATAAAAATTTACATTATGTACATATAACATTACATACATACATACGTATGTATGTATATATATGAATATATATTACAAATATATATATATATATACATACATATATAAAACGCAGTATTTCATATATTGTATTATATACATTGACATTCTCTGTACACATGTATTTAAGGCATAACTTCAACTTACAAGTTGTAACTGAAGTAAAATTTTTTTCATTGTTGCATTATTCCTCACAAAACTTTGCTTATTACCAAATTAAACATAGTATTTAATGTATTTTATTTAAGAAACATTGCACTCTAAAGTTATGATAAATTCTATATAGATTCTTACAACTGTTTAATGAATAATTTACAACAGTATGCAACAGTGCAATTGGTACAAAGTTTAATATTGTATAACTTCAAACAAGATATTTCATATGTATATAAATCCATTTTTAATATTATATTTATATTGACAAAAATGATTATCGTAAAAGTTTTTACAAAAAATTGAAGAAATCACTTGGAATATTTTTTGTATACTAAATATTATTTTTAACTGCATCATAGGATAAATACATTATTATTAATCATGGCACATCTTTAGAGTAAAACAATGTAAATGTGAAAAGATGGGTGGTAATAACGCTTCTTCTTTCGTTCCTATTCCTGATGCATTATGCCCTTACATAACAAAATTATCAGTATTACTTTTCTTTAGATTTACAATTGTATAATACAGTTATATATAATACAATTTGTAGAATAGATTCATCAGGACTGCTTTCATGGAAGAAAGAACTTTGCTGCTATTATAATATTTCAGCATATAGAATATTATACTATAACACACAAAATATATAATACATGAATTAGCGCCCTACTCGGAATACATCCTCACAACCAGTTTAACACACGTGTGTCATACAGGTAATGTCCATGATATCTACATTCCACAGTAACTTCTTCGAGTAACAAATTGAGATAGAGTTTTCTTGTAAGCACCAATTTAGAATCCATAGATTCCTTATAAAGTTACAATATGGTAGCAATATAATTTGACAGTTTTACTTTTCTTATTGGGTAGGTAGATAGGTATAATCTTCCTAGACTTCTCTCTCTCTTTTTCTCTCTCTGTGTGTATGTGTGTGTGTGCGCGCGCGCGCGCGTGTATGTGTGTGTATATGTGCGTGTGTGCGCACACAGGAGCGCACGTATAGGCAATTAAAATTGACTATACGCATATCTAGATCACAATGCAAAAATATCAGCTGTAATGCCATAGCCATAGCCTTTTGGCTATCGAGAGTTCTGTTTTTGCATAATAATTATAATTTAATCTAAATCTCAAAGCTATTGTTATAATTCATCATCGATATGTTTAGCTCTACACGATTTTGGTTTAGTTTCTTTAATTTTATCTTTACTTGTAGGCTTTTCATCACTGTATTTTACTTCATTGGATACCATGGTACTATATAGTATATCTGTAATTTGTGATTTTTTTTGAACAGATACTTTTTTCTCGTTAACCCGGGTAGGATTTTTCAACTTTTCCATAAAATCATTGGATATAATTTTATTTTCAACCTGATCTTTTCTATTAGATGATTTTGCTTTTAAATCAGTCTTGTGACTATGCTGTGCATCACCAATGTTTTTATGTAATTCTTGCACAGTATCTTTTTTATCAGGAGAAGCTGTCCTTATGTCCGCAGCCACAAACATATCGGAAACATAAATCTTATCTGTATCACTTGATGCAGAATTCATAAAAGATTTTTCTTTCCATTTGTTTTCCTTGGTGACTTCTTTGAGTTTCGCGTTTGCTATCTTTGTTATTCGCAGAAAATCCACCTCTTCCTGAAATGTATTTTGAACTTTATTCTTTCTAGTTTCGTCTTTGCTCTGATTCTGAGAAGAGTGCAGAGTAATTTTGTCAGATTTGACGACATTCGTATTCTTTTTAGTTTCTGTCGCAATATCTTTTGATTCATCGTTTGTATCTTCATATTTTTGCAAGATATTTTGCTCAGAATATTTCGCAGCTTTCTGTATTTCCGTCAATATGAAATATTCGAAATCCTCCAACTTATCAGCACTCGATTCCTTAGTTTTCTTCAAAATTTTTATGTTTTTACTTTCTAGTTCTAATTTGCCTCCATTACTGTCACTAATAAATTCCGCGACTGCTAAATTGTTTTCTTTTGTTTTTCCAAGTAGACTTTCTCCTTTATGTATATTTTTGAAATTTGTTTGCAAATCGGAGATCAGCATGTCGTAATACGAGCTATCTTCTACTCCCGACTTCTCTAGGTGTCTCTGTACTCCGTCAATTAATATTTCTTGATATGTTGTATGAACTTCTGCATGAATACGATCCAAAAGGGCGACATGTTGACTGATGATCTCATCTTCCACATCAAGCAAATCAGTTAATAAGTGACGTAAGAATGAATAATTTTCAACTTGCGCAATGCCAGATTCCGAAATTTTTAGCAGTTGTTCCATTTCAGGCCTCACAGATTTCATATTCTTCAATTTTGTAGCTACGGTTTTTAAATTCAGCACCATAGTATCCATATTAGTGAGTAAATATTGTGCCAATAGCTTCTTCCTGTTGGGTTCCAGTAACTGTCCCATTTTTTTAATAGATGAATTTGGTGCAACCACAAGCAGCTCACTTAAGAACCATCGGACTTTATACGATAGTGACGTTTTAGTAAGAACACCACGTGCCTTGTTAACCCAATTATAATAGCTCTCCAAGATAAAACTTCTAATTCTTATACCTTTATTCTGTTTAACGTTGAGAAATATTTGATTGACGAATACCTCTTTTAACTGATGCCACAAAATCTCTATCGGTGTAGAGACTGGTCTTAAGAAGATAATTGTAGCTTCAGATGCGGCAGTAATTCTGACTTCACCGCCAAGTGAATCCTTAACGATATCTGCATGAAAGTAATGAAAGTCAATAGCATCCTCTTGATTTTCTTGCGATTCAATTACGGGAATCATCATATCCAAATTAGATGCGATAGTTGTCGCCTATAAACATACAAAATTTTTATGTTCTTTGTAATTTTTATATAAAATATAGAATATATCATTGTATTATTCTTTAAACATAAAAACATTAACAAACCTGTGGAGTCACATGTCGGCTGAGAAATGATTTTAACGATCCTTTAAAACGTTCGAACAGTGATAAATCAGTGGGTGCTTTAAGTTGGATTTCATCTTTTGAAGAATATATCCCTATAATCACATGTACAAACAATGTTATATAACTAGTGTTAATTTTATGAGAAATATTATACAACTAGTATTAATACTCAAAATAAACTGTATATATGTTAATTTTTAACAATAAATTCTTAAAATATTATTGACTTAATTTTTCTTATACAAAAATATCGAGGAAAAAAGTCTTTTCCCTCCTCTTTTCCTTCAATTTTTACTGAAAAATATTTCGCTATTTTTGCTAAAAAAAAACTCGAATCCAAATAGACGTGAGAAATTGTTATGAAGAAGTAATGTGTTAAAAATAAAACAATTTCTATATTTTGTTGTACGACATATTAAAATTTCTATAATTACCCAGTGTGACGGTAAGATCGCCATTTGCCGTATTAATAGCCTTCATCAGTTCGGCCGCCTCTGTAAAAAAGAGGAACACGACGGGTATCGTGACATCATCCACTTCCTTTCCGTCGCCCGACATTGCAAACATGGGTGAAGTTGCCGCACTGGAACCCGCGACATTATCCAATACTATGCCAGCAAGAGCACCAGCTTGTTGAATTCTTCGCGCCTAGAGCCAAATATAAAAATATCAAGTTAAAATATAAAAGGCTGACTTGGAAAAATATTTTGTGGCGACACACACCTTCTCTATGAACATGCAATTTCCACGATCCATGATCACTATTTTGCCTGCCAATTTGTCCGCGTTCAACAGGTCTGTGCAAGCTGCAGATGGATATGTAAATATTACTTTTCCAGTAATCTTATCAAAATTCTGCAATTCAGGTCCGAATTGCGCTGGTCCGGCTAGCAATGTAACTTTTTCCGGCGGATCTGTGTTAGGCTTTATGAATGTTACTGTTTGCGGTTTAGTTTCCGGTTGTATTTGCATCTTGGTAAGCTCAACCATTTCTTGCATGAACAACAGTCCTTCCTCTGAATCCTGCGGTGTCTTTGCCTTTAAACAGCATTATAATTTATTATGTATAAAAGATAATAAGAAGACATTGAGCAATTTACAATATTTAACATAACAAATAAATTACATTAGAAAATGTGTGCAGAAGTTGAACCCGTCCATCCGCTAACGTTAGAGTCGTTATTCCCATGTCACTCAACATTTTCAGATGTTCCAAATTATTCGCCTGTAGAAAAAAAATTGGATTCCCAGATTTATGTCAAAAAACAAATACAATATGATGCATACCTGAAATTGCGATGCACTTAGTCTTCGTTTAATCGACCGTCTCGGGCAAACATCTTCAACCATATTTCTCAGTGGTTGTCTCACCGATGCAGGAAACAAGTGCAGACTATTCGGGCAAGTACGATCAAATTCATCCACCTGCACGATATCGCGTTCAAAATCCTGCTTGATAAAAAAAAACGTAAAATTTATATCCATCGGTGTCGAATCAATTGCACCCTATACAGATACACTTACAGACGAGACATTTGTCCTTATAGAAGCGAGGGTGAGGGGCAATAAGTGACCTTCGGTAGTAAAAATAAATTCGTCCAAGTCTAAAACCAATTCGCCTGGCTCCGCAAATAATAAAAATAAGTACTTAAATGTCTCGGACAATACAAAGCTATCCATTGTGTCATCATGTTTATTAGTTCTAACGTCTGATACGGCTGCATAACCGCACGGCACTCTTGCATACGTTTGCAGACTCTTGAGTACCTTACGTCCGACTCCTAAATAATAATGGTCACCTGTGGCTCGATACAAGAAATAGGTTGATTCTAAAAATTCTGGTCTGAGTGGATGATGCCCCCAATGCACCTATTTTTGGATACATATCGTCTAGATTACATGTATGTACAAGACAATATATAATATTGTCAATCTAATTTTGTATCTTGAAAATTATCATTCTATAATGGTCGCAATATACCTGAAAATCGGTAGTGAATGCTTCTGGTATAAAGTTATGTCTCTGCATGACTTGGTATAGCATTTCATGCGTTTCCACAGCAGGTTTGATGTCACCTTTAAGAACCTACAACAAATAAAATCGAATTAGTAAGCTTTCTTTTTTATTGCAAGCAAAATTAATATATACCTGCAGACCTGGCCAAAAGGCCAATAAAGCATCCATGAAATTTTTCGAGTTGGTATTTGGTCTATGCATATGTACATCCAGCAACATAGGTCCTTGACTAACGTACTTCATTACGGCTTGGTAATGCTTGTTAAAGCGGCCTAAGTATTTCTCATCACCTGCATATAATGCAAAGTGTATAGAAGCCCCTTGTATGTGTACGCGCCCGCGCGTGTGCTCATATACAAATAATTACCAAGTAAAATATATGCTTTAAGACAATATTCATAATAAGAGTCTATGCCAGCACCGACTCCGGAGTCTCTTCGTACCCAGTCTCCAGAGTTGACATTCAACACAGATCCCATCAAGTCTGTACCACGATGTCTCATTCGCCACAGAACATCCATAGCTTTTTGTGCTTTTTCCTAGAGAAACAATACTTATCATCCACTACTGTTATTTATAACATTTATTATATTTAATACTGATAAATTATCAACTACGTATATGGTGTATCAATAGGATATTTTACCTCGAAAATCGGTTCACCTGTTAATCGAGATAACGCAGCCATTTCTAATATCATACTACCTGCACAAGCAGTGCAAGTCTCCCTTGATATTTCCATAGGAACTCCTTTCATACCATGTTTTAAATTTATCTACAAAACACAGAAAATGTAAGAAAACTTTGTCCATCAAATATACATAATGCTTAACTGAAATTAAACCCAAGACATTTCTTATTTCTTCGATTGGTAGAGATGTACAAGAGTTATTTCGTTTAAAAACATTTACTTAAATAATAAAGAAAGCGAATTTTTACATCATTCCCTCTTCAAGATTATTTCTTATCAATTGATTAACTTTCCCCTTCTCCCCTCCCTCTCTCTCTCTATGTACGCTTGTGTGTGCATGCGTATGTGTGTACTATAGTTGCATGTACCGTGTCATATGACTTTTATTTGAAAATATCACGCAAGAATCCTCAGTCATTTCTTGCTTCTAACGTCACAATCCAACATAACTGCAGTCAGCACTCAAGAGTCCAGCGAAACATTGTATATCATCATATATGAAACTTACTCTGCCATAAGGTATTCCAGTAGTTGTATTAAATGCAGGTAGAAATCTGTATCCTAAATCTTTAGCCAAGTTCAAAAGTTCTCCTCTGTACCATGACATTATATCGGCTCTCTGTTGTAGATATTCAGCTAATATATGACCACTAAGAAGACCTCTGTAAAAAAGAACACACAGCATAAGAGACATAATAGTAAACAGATAACATTTAACACATGAAAACATATTTTAATAAAAATGTTCACAAGTATATTTCTAGAATTAGTACACTTTGTGTACAAACTTTTATTTTAATTGCAATGGTTTCACTCACCCAAGCATTCTAATATTTGTTTCAAATAAGGAAACAATAACATCCGTATCAAAGCTTACATCTCTAGCAACAAGTTTGACTGCGTTCTCAAATTCCTCTAAATCCCCAAGTACCTAATATAAATATAAAATAGAATTAATACACAAAAAGTATACATGGATGCCATGTCAGTGATGTATCAAATAGAAATCTGTTGTTACAACGTACCACTAACGTATCCAGTGTATCTACCAAAGTAAGTGAAAAACTGCAAATAACGGTATGCACATTAAAATGAGTTAGAAGTAGTAACATCAATAAGAATGATTATCAATTTAATGGAAGCCAAACACTATTACAAAAAGATGTAGAAAATTGCATGACAACCCATGGCTGGCAAATTCTAATTAAAGAAATTCATTGCGAAAAATATTACCTCACCCTGGCTGAGGTAATATTTTTCGCAATGAATTCCTGTAATTAGAATCTGCCAGCCATGGGTCGTCATGCAATTTTCTACATTGGTTAATCAATCACTGGCGTTAAATAATTCTTTACATTATTACAAGAATATAACTGATTTTACATAAGAACTTTCAACATGAATAATTTAGCTTCTTACTTTCCCAATGTGAAATCTATATCACCCCTATTCGGTTCAGAGCCTCTATATCGTCCTTTGCAGCTTAATGGCATCAGTTCGTCAGCAGGGTATGCATTATCCTAAACAATTGTAGCTTTGTATTAAATTACTAAGTTTGATATGGAAGGCAGGAAATGCTAATTTTAAAAACACTTCTCTTTTCTCACATACACACACACACACACACATTGTAGCTATTTCTAACTTACAAGATATTATTTTCAAGCATAATTAAAAGGAAACCTTTGCATCAATCTTTACTTGGAAGATATGTATACAAAATGTTATCAACTTTTTATTGCAAATCGTCAAAAAAATAGTAAAAATTGAAATGTAATTATGAAGTATAATCCATGCAAGTAATTGTATAAGAAAAATCCACACAGGTAATGGAGGATTAATTACACAAATTAAAAACAATTATATATACATTAAGTATTGCTTACCATGTATGCATTATATGCATGATAGAACATATCTCTCGCTTCCTCCCTGTAAAATATAATAGTACAATGAAAAGTATAATCCAAAATAGAGATGTAGGCCGCGGTCAAGCTGTTGCTTCAAATGTATCGCAGTATTCTTCTTCTCCTTCCTTTCAGCAAGGACAAAAGAAGAGAAACACTTGGCGGCGTTTGTAGCGGCAGCTCGACCGCAACCTCAGTGATATAAGTAGCGGCTAATACGAACTTCAAGGTTTCCCTCTCCTCTTTATTCATGTACTCTGACAGATCGTCCTCGGATAAAGCCCATAAAGCCTGTATGCTGCATCCCACAAACAACAGCCCCCAAATAAGACCATCGCAAGCCATCGTTTGCTAAAAAAATAAACTCTTTTTTGTCAAGATCTCAAGCTCTTAGTAGCGCACATGGTCCACCGAAAATCTTGCCCCCCGACTGATCTATCTCATTTCGACGCTTCCATCGTCGCAAAAGGTATGAATGGCAAGCGCATACGAGTTACCCTCGAGATTCTCACACGTCTTTTCCTTCCTGCCTGCTTCTAGCCTTCTATGCATGGGCTGTTGTGCATAGGGACGTTATCATATCTTCTCAAGTTGATAACACGCATCACATTGTATCGAGCGAGGCTCGCGAGCTTCTAGGGACACTTTGGCCGACCAAACGACATACGCGAATGTAACTTTCATCAAGCTGTTCGGCCGCAAGCGACTCAGGATGAATAAATCGTTCGCCGAGCCTCTTCTCTGACAATCGGCGTGCCTAGACTCATCAGAACGTAACTGGCGGGCGGAAGGAATTTGTAGGACGAACTGTTGTTTGCCCCCGGGTGATATAAACAGCAGGCGGCGGGGACAGCTGATTGTATATTTTCAACAAGGCCAGATGATGTGGCTACGGTCGATTCGCCGAAACGGTTTATCGTTGTGTGCCGCGACATACACCGAGCCTCACCAATATGTTCCTCGCGCTGCGAAATTGCTCGCCCTCCGTTTTTCCTCGACGATCCCGACGACTTCCGCAGACGCACGCTAATTCCTTACGCTTCGCCGTGTTAACTCATGACAAGTGGCGGCGGTCTCGTCACATTTGACACGATTATCGCCATTTAATAACCTCCAACTAATCTCTCGAAATGAATGAACCGACTGGAGGAGAGTCACGTGATCGCATCATTTGCTCTACGACTTCTACGAGTCGTGAAACAATCGGTCTGTTCTTCCGGTTCTTCCCAGAGTCCTAAAGGTGCCTTTACATGGGCGCGCGTGCGCAGCACTTTCGCGCGCAGAAATTTAAACGTGCAGATGTGTCAGTCAACTTTAGCGTCTATCTTGTAAGATATTAAGTCAAAATATTTTTGTTTTAAATAAAAGTGGAACAATCGCTAGATTCAAGTGTGTTGAAAGTTGACTGAACTTAATATTTGTAAAAGATGTTTATTAATAATTAATTTATTAACTTATTAATGATCTGTTAGTAACATAATGAGTATGTACCACGATGTATGATACAATAATCTGTTAAATTTTCAATGCGTCCCAGTCCTACGACGGCAGGAGATTGATCGTATATATATTTACTGGCAATATTTCGTACTGTCTCTGCTGTGACCTCCTGTAAATAGAAAAGACTTTTAATTTCTATACTTTTAAGACCATTGAATACTGCCATGTACATACACTTGATTAAAATAATACAAAAATTACAATTTATAATATAATCTATATTTTTCATTAGCTTACTTGATAATTCGCAAATCTTTCTTTCATAGGAATGTAACGATTATATAAATAAAAACAATTGACCATGTCAAAGAAACGATCCATTGGATTATTCAATTTTGTCAATTCATGAAATACGCATTGGTTCACAGCTCGTTCTACTTCTACATCAGTACTTATCGTACATAGTCTTCTCCATTCGCTTAATAACATGCAAACCATGTCCTATACAAATATTGGATATGTTCCCTTTTATATAATTTATGTAAGACTTAATTTAAACTATAAAGTATACGTGTGTATACACGTACGTCAAGTTTTAACTTATCACAGACAAAATAGCAACCCCATATACTGGTATATCCATAATCCAACATAAACGATTTATATAAATAGCATATGTTTGAATTAAATGCACTATGCGCAAGGTACGGTGCATTATGATTTGCGCCACCTGAAATCAGAGCCAAATAAAGTTCACACAACAGTTGGAATAGCGAAGCGCTTATTTTTAATACCTATTAGCATAATAAATTCAAAAGATTGCTGTATCTAATAATTACCATACGTTACATCCCATGATCCTACAATTTCCTTAGCTACTTGTAGAGCATATCGATCTGTACATTGAGAGAAGGTTGGTCCTTCAAAGCCTATAGCTACATATCCTAATTCTTCATTATCATCTCTTAATCGTAATTCAGCACCTATATAACAAGTCTTAATAGTATAAATGTACATAATCATTCTTTACAAAAGTTTAGTGTTCTCTTATTACAAAATACTTTACTAAAATGTATGAAAAGTTGTATAACTCTTTAATATACAATTTATATTTTATTTTCACCTGAAAAACGTAATTGGTTTAAACTTGAGAATGATTCATGATCGTCTGTTAAGGTCTGTCTTTTTGTCGAACATTCATCAACACATTTGTGTATAATTGTTTGTAATTCTTTCAAGAAGATTGCACCAGAACTAATTATAGTCATGAAGCAGGGTTTGAACACGTGCTTTTTAAAATTTACTAAATGTTCTGTTTGAAAATTTCTGCACATATATTAATAATTTGTATCAGTGATAATGTTAGTATTAAAAATACTGACTTGTGAAGAAATTAAATATTTACATGTTTTAAATAACAGTAATAAGTAATATTATATACACAATATAATACGTAGTACAAATAATAATAAGAATAGTTATATAATGTGTAAAAAAATTAATGTATAATAACGTGACTCTTAATACAGCTGATATGTTGTAAATACTTGATTATGTGACTTCGAGGAAACACGCTTTTAGATAATATTGTGTCCTGGTATGCAATACTTGGTAAATAATCCATCACTATTTGTTCTGGATTAGATTCAATTTTAGACAACTCCTGAAAAATTCTCGATTTTGCCAATTCAATTGCAGCATTATCTGAAATAATAATTTGCACAGATTAGCATTTTAATTTGTAAGATAAATAAGATCAATGTATTGGAGTAGATTTTACTAAATTAAAATATTAATTAAACGTACGTATAACACCATTTATAGCAACATCAAGTAGTAATTCTGTAAGTTTACAAGCATTATGAGAAGGTGCTATTCCATAGAACACAAATGCTTCTCGCATTGCCTTAGCTGATAATGTCCCACCAATTCCCTGTAATTCTTCTTCAATCTGCTGCTGATTTTTGTGAATTCTCCCCTATTATCATAAGTTGCTTAAGCTAATGATATCATGAAATATGAATAAGAAACGAATGAAGAATACCAGATATAATTTTTTAAAGCAAGAACAGAGTTATCATAATCTATATTTTTCGGACACATAAAATCATACATGATCAGTTGTCTAAATATATTAAAATTCTTCGTAATTGCATTCTGATTTACTTGGAACAATGTGTGCTCTAAAAATAATGCACTGCCACGTTCCTTGGCTTTTTCAAACATTGCACCCGCTGGTAGAAGGCATCCAATAATAGTAATAGATGATTCTTTCTTGTATTCGGAAATTAAACGCATACCATTATTCATGTCACAATATTCCACTGTTCCCTCAGATGTTTCCAAAGACTCACTCGAACTTTTGGATATACCGTAACACGGGAAAATTCCATTACTGATGTATTTACGTGATTCTCTACCCTTAAGAATAAATTGGTTTTACATTTTTATTAAATCATATAACTTGATAAATTTAATTATTTTATGTTCTTACGATATGTATGTAAAAGATGTGCTTTTGAGCGACACAAACGTTCCTGAAGGCAAACATTATTACGGGTTGAATATGCCATAAATTAGAGTTACATTGGACATATATAAAATTAAACAATTGACAGATAATCGAGTTCATTGTGCAGTTGTTCTTTTACGTATGTAAATACGGTTAATTTCGACAAAAACGTTCAAAAGCAAAGCAATTTTAAATATCAACATATAAATTGCGATAACTCGAAAACAACGTATTTTCGGGTGTATTTATATGAATTTTTTCGTTACTTCTCCAATCATCTTTCGAGCGGTTGACCTCCACTTTTGAAACACTCCGTGTTAATACAAAAATAATAATATATGTATATTGAGATGTACAATTAATTTTAAATAACAGTTAGACATTTACGTTTGCTTTCTTTTATTTTTGTATCTTATTTGCAAAAAATCTAATGTATTTAATATACATATAATCTATCACTCTTTATTTATATAATTTTTAAAGACTTGACAAAAATAATATAATACAGTACATATATATGTATGCAAGCATGAGACACAATATCCATTATCGTTTTATGTAAGCTTATTAATTGTGCATAAATGAAATTATTAATAATATTTTGTAATAATACATTCATATATATATATATATATGTATATAATATTTACTTATTTATTTATTAATTACTAAGAGTAGTCCTATAATAATACAAAAAGTCATTTTATATGACTGTCAAAGTATAGATAGTAAAAAAATGAGAGAAAAAAAACTAATAGTATACGGTAATACTGAAAATAAATAAAAATAAAAATAATCATGCCTTTTAATCGACATTAACCGGTCAATGTTATTATAATACAGAAAATTTATTGCGAAAAATATTACCTCAGCCAGGGTTTGAATCTGGTCTCTTCAGTCCTCTTTACTCTCTAGGCGGACGTCTCACCAATTCGACCACTAAGGCATGTGTAATATTTGTCACAATAACAGTATAAAGATGATACCTTTGCGTTCAATTTTTGACTTTAAAAAATAAAAACAATAGTAAGCTAATAATTACAGCAAGTGTTACTTCATAATTAATAATACATCGAGATTAGAGTTAATAACGAGACAGTATATAACGATATGCTTACAAAAAAAAAACTGCCCAAAATTAGTTATTGACGTCCAATGATATGGGAATCGTTAGATCTTGTCTAATAGAACAAAAGTTGTGATGGCTGTATTTTATTGGTTCATAAGGTCAAGAGTTAAACCAAAAACAAAAAAAGGTATCCCTTATATAATAAATAAATAAAAGCGATAAAAATGAATAAAGGCAAAAATATAAAAAAGCAATAAAAAATAAGGAAAATTCTCTTAAAAAAACTGTCAGACACAATTTTATAAGAAAAAGATGTTTCTTTTTGCATAAAGAATCACGTCTTACACTCCACATACGAGACACTGTAGAATTTTACTTTGTTTTATTGTAGTAGTATTTACTGTAGTATTTAACTTTGTTTTATTTTTCTTCTATAACTCTTGACCTCGTACACCAATCGAGTTATTAAAACTTTTATTCTACGAGACAAAATTTATCCAATCATCGATGAACGCCGTTGGCCATTTCGTCAAAAGATTTTTGGGCATTCATCTTTCTGTGTGTACTTTCTCAAATAAATTACATTTAATCAAAATTATTTATTTATAGAAAATTGTTTGAACATTACTTATATCTTAATATCAAAGCATAATATGCATTCAAATATAAAAGTATTAATACTTTTCGAAAAGTATTTATAATTTCTAAATTACGAAAAGTATTAATAAAACATAAATATTCATTAATTCCTAATTTGCTAGATACGACTTTAACTATGTCTCATCGAACGACGAGACTATTTTAACATTGTTTTTTTGCGATTTAAAGGATTCAACACCCTCTTTTGTCACAGAAGTACCAGTAACATCCAAGTATTCCAATTTCGATGCATTTAAAGCCAAATGGATAAGACTCGAATTTGTTACACGTGGATAGTTTCTGGAAAAATACATTACATAATTTAAAGTATTTTCTACTTATTCTTCTTGTTTTTAAATTTTACAATATTTTTTGTGAATTAACTCAATCAACTTACCTAACGACTAATGTTTTAAGATTTGGATTATTAGATACCCGTCTATCTTCTCGTAATATTATCATTCCTTCGGGAGCAAGAAAACTATTTACCACTTCTCTATCACAAGTATCGCTTCCAAGTGCACATATTGCTCTATCTGATATCAAACATCGTTGAAATCCATAATTTTCAAGAGCAAATCCATCCTCGACTAAAAACTGTATTAGAATAATTTATTTTTATATTGTAATACAGTTTATATTTTTAAAAAACATGTATTGTACTTATTGCTGTAATCAACACTTATAAATTTGCTTTCTGCAATACCTGTACTAGATTGCGATCTTCAAATATGGGTAATCGTAAAGCCTGTTGCTGTCGGTGTTGTATAACTTCAGGCGACTCTTCATTTCTCCATGTAGAAGGACATTCCAAATAGAGATGTGTTAGAGTTTTAGTGCTGCTAAAACAACCGACCTCACTATCTCCAAGTGCTGTATCCCGTAAATCTAAAATCTAATATAATAAAATATAAAAACATCTCGATCATTTCTTCACAGTAAGACCGAGCATAAGAATGATTGATATAATATGAATGAAAATACATATAGATAAGAAAAATATTATACCTCTAACGTCTTGAATCCAAATCTAGTTGCTAAACTAGCATATGCAACACATTCGCCCAGACGGTGACACGAGTTCAATCTGAGTTCCTTAAGTTTTGGTATTTTGCTAATAACTAGTAAGGAATGCGGCGTAAACCACTCACAGTTACTTAAAATCAAACACTAAAACAGTATTAAATATAATACACACATACACACGATATAAAAAAAAATTTATATCCGTATATAAAATTGCACTTACTGTTAAATTAGGCATGTGAAGATCCATTTTAAAAAAATAAGACTTATTACTCTGCAAGTAATCCATTTTGCAACCTTTCAATGAAAGCTTTTCAATGGTGCATGGAAAATCTGTTATATGAATCTGTAAGTCACATTGTAGTAGATCAAATATATTCTTTCAATTATTCAAAAAATAATTCAGTGCCTCTTGTATCTATATCTAAATCGAAAGAATTCAAGAAATGTAACTTGTATCTGTATCTCTTCACTGAATCCATTAAAAATTTAACTTGTATCCGTATATTTGATGAAAAAAGTCAAGATACCAAGCTCTGTTTAAACGTAAGAAAATAATAGTATAAACATTTTCATAAAATATACCTTATCTCCATTGATGTAATATTCTTCAATGATCAATTCCTTCAGTTGATCGCACAGTGTTTTCACATTATTAAAGAATCTTTGCGTGAGAGACGAACCTTCGCGGCAGATCAGATTGCCACGCATTGCTAGACTCATTGTTATTGGCTGCAAAAACTTCATGTACTGATTTAAATCATCTAGAAGTATGGGGTTTTTACGAAAATCTACTCTTCTCCACAAAGTCCTGTCATGCGCTAACTGCGCAAATCTGACACAGCATCTGTGATTCAAAGAAATCAATTATAATGGAAAAAGCACTGCGAAAGACATCAGATACAACAGAAGGTATAATAGATAAATGCAACTTACAAACTGATTGCCATGAGATCTTGTGGATGTACATATTTCAATATATTAAGTAAAACGTCATCCGAGAATGAAAGAATGTTCCGAGATGGTTTTCTTCCATTTAAATTTGCAATACTCTCAAGTTTTATACGTTTTGTATCTTTGCTACTAGATGGTTCAGGAGAAAGAGACTTGCTGCGTTTTATTTTCATTTTCCTTTACCTACAAAATATATAAGAACAAACCACTTTTGGCAAACATTTCTACAAAAATTTGGCGACGTGTCAAGGAGAACGTACAAATAATTTCTTTATGGCAAAATAATAAGCCAAACAACACGTATATCTAAATAGTCGGTTCTTATCTCAAGTCTCTTAATGCGTTTTCAACCAATCACAGAGCCGTATTAGCGTCTTAAGACAACACTTAAGATGATTTTGAAATAAGAATCAACTGTGAATACCAGCCTATGAATGTTATAGATAGATACATGATTAAAATAAAATATAATAGATATAATAATAAGATTATAGATTAAACTAGTCAAGTTTTAGAATACTCTTTTATAAAGAACTTTTATAAGAAAAAAAAATGATAGATGAGGATAGGTGCAGAGCGGCGATGGTCGCGTATCGCTTGCCGCTCTCCCTTTGCCATCCAAAGTGTGTTCTTCTCTTATTGCTTCCTCCGCAAGTGACGTATCTCTTTAAATAATATTGATCAAAGGACCCTGCACTTTTCTTATGGAAAATCTGTGTAGAGTCACAAAATATTATCAAATCAAAATTATTATTTGACATGAGAATACAAACACCGCGCAAAAGTGATGCGTCTACAGGTTAAACCTGGCACACGCAATTTACACCTTGGTAAGGTGATTTTTCAGATAAAAATTAACCAACAACTAGTTTGTAAATGAAAGACATTGTCATATTTTTGATACAGCCAGACAAAAAGAATCCTATTATAACTCTTTAGTCTCCTTTTACTACAACATATGCACACGTATAAGAAATGAATTAATTACGCGCATTTCCATTCCACGTAATGTATGAAAAAGGAGCTTCTTAGTCGTAAGCCAGATGTTAAAAATTAGGGCGCTTAAAATATGAAGAATCAGCCACTCCGTACCGAATAACACTGACTAAACTTTTGGCTGGGATTATACGAAGCTCTCGGTGCGAATACAAAGAACAAAGCGCTACCCTTTAAAGCTTGCTAGCCTCATAAAAAATATATGTATATCTCTCTCTCCTTTTCTCCCATCTTTTCTTTTGATTTCTCTTTTTTATATAAGAATGACAGGAAAACTCACATATCAATATGGATAGAACTCTCAGTACATATAAATAAATCATTACGCATCACGCTTAAATCTCTTTTTTTCTCCATCGCACTTACCTCGCGAACGTTTCAACGAAATTTTACGCCCAGCACAGTGTCACTTTCCAATCCAATTCTTACTTGTGGAATACAAGAAAATATGGGAAAGTAGACGGCAATCACATAAGAACTGTTTATGCTGAAACTTCGTGATCAATGAGTGCCATTGTTGTGTTTGTCAAGGTTCGACAAGAATTGATTTCGGAGACCTCGTGTGGCGGAATCCCGAAACTCTGGATGCAGGGTGGCCAACGTCGGAAAACTACAAAGTCCGTTCGGTTTGCTACACAGACGTAAGGCCCGGTTTCTAGGAAGCATGCAAGCTAAGGTCTGTTCGTGTCGCATACCCCACATGCTCCAGGGGCTCGATTCTTGAATTTATTCGAGAGAGAAACGAAACTTCTGCTCTCACAGAAAGTTAATCAGATCGCAAAAACAGGGATCAAACATTCAAAGAGAAAAAATTTTACTATTATACAATATATTGTTCAATATACCAAAATAATTACATTCTTGTTCTTAAGAAAAATTGTGTTTTCTTTATTATAACTATACAAAGCAAGGAACCATTGATAAAAATTTATATACATCTACAATCAAGATTTTAGTTAATAAATGAACACCGCAGTAAATAAGCATAACTTATCTAAGATAAGTTCTTTTAAAAATAATAAACTTGCTGTATGTCTTTGGATGCAATTCTTAATTTGTAGATTTAAAATTTATATATATATATATATATATATATATATTCCTATACTATGCAGAAAATACAGTCGCATCAGAAACACAGTATGTTTTATATGTATGTACAATATATCATTATAGATCTATATATTTCCAACACACACCTAAATCTAGGTGATATAGAGATACAGTCTTAAAATCATCACTTCTCCTTTAATATGTACAAAAACTGTAGTATATAACAAAAAATTAAACCGTTAAAAAATTCTTCTCTCTACTCTGAAAGAGATTTTTAAAGTTCCATATGCATTTAAATATTAACTATTATAAAAGCAATTTTTAATAAAAATTATGTTAACAAATGTGTATTTATAAAGAGCCAAATAATATGGAAAAACAATTAGTTACACAGAAATACTTACGTAATGCTTGAAATTTATGATTTAGATCCTTCTTATTCTAAAGCCAGCGGCATACGATGCTATATCTTGCCTGCTGGATTGCTTGCGTGCTCCACTGCTGATTGGTGAGTGCTAATCAAGAAGAAGCCTCAAGTCACCTAATCTATAACGCTGCATCTTGATTAACTTGCACCAATCATCAGAGGCGTACTCAGCAATCTAGCAGGCAAGTAAAATAACATCGTGTGCCCTTAACTTATAAAATTAATCTTGCCGGATGCTATATAAAATACACTTGCCATTATTATATAATAAATATGGAATTAATATACATATAATACGTATTTTCTAAATCTTATTCTGTCCGATAATTTGGAAACATTATAGGCACATATTCACATTCCACATTTTATATTAAATGGCCGAATAATTATTAATTTCAACATGAAATTGATTTTTCTATCAGACAATTATGTTCTCTTTACTGAAAGCGGGTATGTGAATAACGCCCTGCAGACTTAAAGAACATTTTGTTTACATATACATATAAATATATAATACTAAAATAACTATATTTATACTAAATTTACGTCTATGGATTAAGCTAAGTTACTGCACACATACATATATACAGATACGCTCTTATGTGCATGCGCATATACGTATACACTCGCGCATATATAAGATTTCTTACGATTTTACAAATATATAAATATTAGGCTTAATTATAGTAGAATTGCCAAAATTTTTTACACAAATAATTATTCCATCATGAAACGAGAAATAATAAATGCGATGTGCTATATTTAAAAATGAAACGTCCAAAAGACATGTATTTTCGGAAATTTCGCTAAAAGCAAAAGATAATTTTTTTTTATCTACAGTAATACAGATCTGTATCTATTGTGCCATTTTGTGTGCATGCTTGCGCGCGCAAAGATACAAAAAGAATATATACCCTGGAAAAAATGATATATACAGTATAATCTTGTTAATCCAGCTTATTGAAAACCAGTGTCGGATTAATGGATTCGCTGAATAACTGGAATGTATGAAACATAGGACATATAAATAAAATAATATGTAAAATTATCGTAGTATATAATTAAACTTATATTAAATAAAGAAGTACACATAATTATGTATTTCGTTCTAAAATTTGGTACAAAACAATTTATTGTTTAGAAAAATATACTTTAATGGATGTTTGTCTTTTTTAAAACTGTGATCGCAGTCGATTATTCGCTTCACATTCGATTGGTCAATTTCTAAAATCTTATGTCTTACGATCTCATTGTACATAACGTGTAGGGGGCTGCGAAAGCTCGCGAGTAGTGCTGAATTATTGGACGTGCCAGATTAGCGAGATTATACTGTAATTTTTCTCGAAAATTGTGTAAACATGTGTGCATGCATGTGCATGTGCGGCATATTTTTATTAATTAATAAGTGTACTTTAGAAGTTGGGAAGTTTGTCAATAAAATTACTTCCAACAATGTTGTTTGCTTACATAAAACTGTCCTCAATCTCGATTGTCGATAATTTATATATTGCACATGAAATCATTATCTATAAGTAACATTATGCACAAGCTATGTTGCGCGTATAATTTTATTGCACACACTGCATATGGCCATAGTGCTTACAGAAAAAATATAATTAACTCTCTCTCTCTCATTATTGATTACATTAATAAAATAATTAAATTTGTAATTACTATTGGTACATAATAATACGGTAAACTACTTCGTATGAAATAGTGATTATTAGAAGTTGTTTGAAATCGAAATTGTGGACAAATAGATACTCTTTTCCAAGATAGCTCTCCAATTGTTCAAATCGCAAGATTAAGCAAGAGGTACGCAAACTTCCAGTCTCAAATTATTTCTAGATCATTATTTATGATTCTTTCAATCTATTTTATATAAATATAAATAAATCATATACAACATATGTGCACACACACACAGATACATATATACACATGCATACGCACACGCACATACATATTTATACATATATGTATATATAAACGTAATAGAAATTTCTTTGGTCTGATTTTTCGTTTTACATTCTAAGTGTACATAAAAATTATATTTCTATATATTTTTTTAAATAGTTAGAGATTGTTGCAATTACTGTAATCTAACAGATATAGATTTTATACACGTTTTAATCGAAAATTTTTACATATAACAATATGTATGTTCGAGAAATTGGAAATTTGATGTATCATGAGTTGGCTAATGTTATTGAAATCCTAATTTCTAGTTTTTAGATCAAAAATTTTCTATATGTTATAATGACCTACGACAATTTTGTCAGAAACTGAAACAACCTCATAACCATAACAATATGATCATGTTTTCAAATATAGTGTATCACAAAACAATAAGACTTAATTTTTTTCAATGGTAATGCTAGACATCAAAATCGCAATCCAGTTTGAATATCGTATCTGAAATTGATAAAATTAATGATCGATTATAAAATTGATCCAATATATAAAATATCACTTTATCAATTAGCGATTAGAAATAATTTCATTTTTCCCACGTTTCAGATATTATTGCCTCCAAATTATTCCAAAATCTTGATACATGTATTTTAATTGAATTTTCTACATTTCTTCTCTCTTTCTTTCTCAAAAGTATAAAAATATACACATACTATTTAAAATATGACAAATACAGGAAAACGAAGCTGAATAAAATAAGTAAACAGTTATCATTAAAAACTTTATAGAAGAGAGTCTTGAAGATCAATTTCTTTCAAATTCTTGTACATTTTGATTTCATTTTATATCAAATTTGATGTCAAAATTTTGATTACTCACGTCTCTGCACCAGTCTGTTAAATTCAGAAATACATCAATAAATATAAATATTAATTTAGTTCATTTTACTAGCCTGCGAATTAAATAACAATAAATATATTAACAAGATTCGTAATTTCAAACAGATTTGTGATTTTGATGTACAATGTACATATTACATTTTGCAGAATTAGATTCCATTCTTTTGCTGTTGAAGTTTAAATACTCGTATACAGAATGTTACACATAAGTATTAATATACCTGTACACAGAATGCTGTAGACAAGTAGTAATAATACATTTTGTTTTAAATATCAATAAGATACGAATGAATACTCATTTAAAACTTACAATATGCATTCCATATAGCTAATGTTTTGGTGACAAAATATATTTACATCGTTCTGCCTGACGAATTCTTAAAATATTCAACAGATTTACTTTCTGTTTGATGTGTATACATCAAAATATCTAATTTGTCAAAATAACCACTTTGATTCTCATTTCTGTAGTATTAAAATACAAAAATCACGTTCGTTCAAGAACAAAACTATAAGAAAATATTTTAGCGCGTCGTAAAGTTTCTCTTGCTTATACAACCACGATCTTATGGTTGTTACCATTTGGCAAGAGAACATAATAGACACGCTTTCCCTTATCTCATTGAAATTCTTGCATATTAGTATGATACTGAGTGTTAGCGAATGATCCATTAGCTTGTTCGTTTCGTTCAATAACGCTTTGCATTTCGACAGTTGACTCGTTGCTTGATTGCCCATTATTATTTAAATTTCCAGTATTGCTAACATTATTTGTCACTACATTCACATTATCCGTGGCGTTCGATTGTTGCTGTTGATGCCCGTTTAAATTATTTTGTGCAGAGTTATTATTTTTTGATCTGTGTCTAAGTCTATGCGTAGTGAGATACTGTTTTACTGAAAATGCTTTATGGCATATATCGCATTTATATGGCAATGGATCTGGGCAATTTATGCCGTCCATAACAGCTACGGCATGAGTAGTTAAATGCATCACGTAATAATGTTTTACAACAAATGATTTCCCACAAGTTTCGCAAATATAAGGACCAGATACACCATGCGTTTTTCGATGTTTATGTAGATTATCCTTACGTGAAAAACTTTTACCACACAATTCACACTCGTGCATTTTTTGTCCGGTATGAGATACCGAATGTCTAACCAAGTGTTCCTTACGGCTGAATGCTTTTGTACACGTCGTACACACATACGGTCGTTCACCGGTATGCAATTTTCGATGTTGAAAGAGATGCTCTTTCCTCTTAAATGGCTTACTACAAATGTCACAATTGAAGGAGTTAACATTAGTTTGTAAAGAATCATCTTTACTTCCAGCATCCGATGGTTCACTCATAAGTGTCTCAACACTACAATTATGACTGCTCATTTGGTTGAATGAGGAAAAGCTTTTACCACAGTCGCGGCAAACAGTATTCCTTACAGCCGGTGAAAGGCCTTGAGGATTCACAGTGATTAGAGAAGCTGGCTCCGATCCTGACCTGAGCCTTAGAAATTCTCTTATCTGTTCGATTGAATTGCGAGACATTCCATCGTCGGATGAAGTTTTTGCAAATTCTTTAAAATCTTTATTTTCTCGAACCGATGTCAGTGAACTTTCTTTGAAATCCAAATTTAAAAATACTTCTGGCGTTGCTTGTACTGTAGTATAAGTTTGTACATTTGGGTTAGGAGATTCATCTTTTCGGACCTCGGATTGTATTTTTTGCATAATTTGCTGATTTGGTTCCATGTCCGCTTCAGTTTTCAGAACTACATTATTATTTTGATGTACCACTGGTGTTTCTTGTTTTACTGAAAATTCTTGTTGCGTTACAATTTGCACTTGCTGCTTTTCAAGTTGAAGTTGCCTGTGCTGTTTTTCAAATTCACGTTGTTGCCTCTGTAACTGTTGAAGCTGCTGTGATATCTGCGACTGTCCCTGCACCTGCTGACTGACTTGGCTTTGATTCTGTTGTTGAGACAATTGTGCCGGCTGATTCAATTGTTGAGGAATTGCTCGTTGAGATTGCACTTGCTGATTCATTTGGTTATGATTCTGTATTTGGTTCTGCGTTTGCTGCTGAATTGCGGGAGATTGATTTTGCTGGTCGCTGATTTGATTTTGCGCTTCGTTTGATTGTTGTGACGATACTTGAGAAGTTTGTTGTTGATAACTATAATGAGTCTCTGCTGTAGCTTCAACGACAGCAGCTGCCATACCACCTGGTTGCATCTAAACCCAAAAAAAATTTCATTACTATATTTTAAAATAAATATGCACAGATATATAACAAAATAAAATAAAAAATATTTTAAAGTAAATAAAATATAAATAAAAAAATCTGCAACAGACGTACGTAAAATATATCTAACGCAACAGCTTTATTCTATTTATTTTGTTATTATTTATTGATTGCAGACCTGCATGGCACATTTGTATTGCTGCACTCTTGCTTGGACACCACTGATGATTTGTATATTAGAAGTGTTTATATTGCTAACTACGACAGGTTGCTGATGCTGTATTTGATCTGTTGATTGTTGATTATTGATTATTTGGTTTCCGACTGGTGTTGGCACTTTTTCCATTGACTTCAGAGTCTCATCCTCTGGTGTGGATGGTCTTTCCTTTTCGGTATTCTTTACGTAAACCTTCCCTTCTTTCAAAAAATCCTCGGAGAAACGCAGCGAGGTGAAATAAGACTCCAACATACCCTCCGCATTGATCACAGTATCTCGGAATTCTATATAACTCTCTAGCTTCTTGACGCATTCATGGCATACAATTTTTGGTAATGAATCCTCCTCCATAACCTTCAAGAAATATAAATAATTACAATTTAAAATTCATTTCAGTAAGCGATAACTTATTCTATTTGCATTCTTCCTTTATAACAATTAGATCGCAAAATTAATTATTGTCATAAATATCAATATGCTGGAAACAAATAAATAAATAACTCTGCTCTGTAATGAAAATTTATATTATTTTAATAACTTGTATAAACATGAACTGAATCAGTAATAAAAATAACCGAGTCCCAATTCTAAATAATATAAATAATTATATTTTAATATTGTTTAAAAAAAAACGTAAAACTTGTGTGAAAGAGTTACGAAGTCCATATAAAATTTACGATTTAATATTGGGGATCAAATATAACCTAACCTATGTTGATCTGTTTATGTTGAATATTGATTATCTCCATACGAAACCTTTATAAACCTCTGGGATTTAAATATTGGCAACAGGATACCAAGTGGAGATAAGAGCAAATTAGAAGAAAGTATTTGTCCAAAGTTATTTTCACAAAGCTGTTCAGATTCAATTTTGTTGTATCTACTATATGAAACATATAGAGATGTGTATACAATAATTTATGCTTCATTATCTCAAATCTTACCAAAACTTTCTTTAAACAATTCTTGTATGCACGTGCAAGTAAACGAGAGTATAAAGTTGTGGAATGTAAAAACATATACTATTTTGAATAGAATGCGTATACATTGATGCTGCGGTTTCATGGTTGAAAAATGTTATCACACATTATTGTGGCGGATTTTGGCGCAGAAATAATTTTCAAGTATCAGAATATATTTGACTGGAGTCTCAACACAAATCTAGCAAACGTTCTTTGCAGATTTGTCACATATCCTTAGGACTTTTGCGTCGCTCGCGACATGTCGAACTGACAAATAGGGTTAAGCGGGTTGAGCGATCGTGTTATTACAAAAGGATCGAAAATAGCTCGGGGGTTGCGAGCCGAGCACGAGTTGCTCACCTGTATCGGTAGAAACATCTGTATTTTCGATTGCAATTGCAGTCTGCGTCCTTCATCGCGAAAAATATTCATCTTGATACCCTCGCTGCTGGCACACAGTCGACACAATTCGTAATAGTTTACCTTGCGGTATCCCGACATCGTTTTTCCCGCGGTAAATAGATCGCGACCACCGAAGAATCGCAGAAGGAGAGAGAGAAGGCTTTCAGTAGCGTGACACACACCACAGGAACGGTAAACACTCGCGCAAAATCACCGCCACCACCGCCGCCGCCGCCACCGCCGCCACCACCGCCGTCGTCGTCGTCGTCGTCGTCGTCGTCGTTGTTACCGTCGCCGCCGTCGTCAACGTCACTACCACAGCCATCGCCGCCATCGCCGCCTCCACCGCACCACCGCGCCGCAGTACCCCTGCCGCCACTATTGCCGCCATTACCACCACTGACCATAGTATAACTAGCAGGTCCACTCCATGATGTAAGAAGAAAGGTGTGCTACCGCGCATGACCAATCACGAACGCTTTCAAAACGACGCCATATTGGGAAATATCAACCAATAGCGTACTCGCCTTCGCGATTTCATTAATGGCTGTGTTCTGCCGAAGTTAAGCCCGCTGCAGACGATGCTATTTTTCCTGCTGGATTGCTTGCAATTTAGTAAATTACTAGGAATCCTGAATGCTGAGTGGTGCAATGATAGTAATTTACTAAATCGCAAGCAATCCAGCAGGAAAAATAGCATCGTCTGCAGCGGGCTTTAGCTAAGAATAAGCGCTTTATGCTGATTGGATAGATCTAGAAGAATAGCTCTATTTCAGCACAGATCTGAAAGTATAATCCAATGAACGCAAAGCGCTTAGCAAGCGCAAACTTCTGCTGGACACAGGCAATTTCATTGGTTTCGACAAAATTTGGCAGAACTAATAAGATGTCTCGAATCTGTACACTGAATGGGTGCGTTCTTTTAGGCATCGGATTTGGCAACCGCTGCGCATCGGATCTGCCGGCTGACGGAAATCTGCGTTGCAGTCGACTGCGCAGTCGGGCTAAAAGAATGAATTACTGCAAAAACTGCTGTATCCGATGCCTAAAAGAACGCACCCAATGCGTTAAAGCCTCCTGGACACAACTGTTGAACGAGCGCTCAATGGTCGCGTTCAGCAGACACAACTGTTGAGTGAGCGCTCAGTGATTTCTTAATATGATTGGCTGGTTCTAAAAGTATTAACCAATCCTAATGAGCGCTCACTCAACAGTTGCGTCTGCTGAACGCGGCCATTGATTTCTTAACATGATTGGCTGGATCTAAAAGTATTAGCCAATCATACTGAGCGCTCACTCAACAGTTGTGTCTGCTGAACGCGGCCAATGGTCGTAGTCGTAAGAATAATCGACTGCGATTGGTCAATTCTTACCCCTGGTCCACAATCTTGCTTTAAGTAAGCTGTAAGCTTCAAGCCGTAAGACATTAACCAATCACAGGCATTTATTCCTCTCATTCTCATCTGTGGTTGGTTGATTTCTTACGGCTTGAAGCTTACAGCTTAATTAAAGCAAGATTGTGGACCAGGGGTTATCGAGCGACTACGACTACGACCATTGTAGACAGAACCGAGAATCATTGTAGCGGAGGCTTAAGTCTCGTCTACATAGAAATCGTAAAGTCGTAGTCGTAAGAATAGTCGACTATGATTGGTCAATTCTTATGTGCCTGACGAAATTGACCAATCGCAGTCGATTATTCTTACGACTACGACTCTGCGACTCGCATTGTAGACCACGCATAATGTTGAGTGAGCGCTCGGTATGATTGGTTAATACTTTTAGATCCAGTCAATCATATTAAGAAATCATTGGCTGCGTTCAGCAAGCACAACTGTAAAGGTACCATTTCATGCGCAGCATACTGCCGCAGCAACTCGCTGCTATTGGTTGAAGAATTGTTACTAGATGCTGCAAAATAAATTTCACCATATTTTGCTTCATCGCTGTGAAGTTCAATTGAACGAACAGCAAAGCAGCAGACACGCGATCTAGCCGGCCAGTGCTGCTGCAGCTATTCCTTTTTCGTGAGCAGCAAATATGCTGTAGTGAATTTGGATCACGTGACTAATTTGCTGCTGCTGCATGCTGCGTATGAAAAGGCACCTTTAAGTGAGCGCACAATGATTTCTTAATATGATTGGCTGGATCTAAAAGTATTAACCAATCATACCGAGCGCTCACTCAACAGTGTCTGCTGAACGCGGCCATTATCGGCGGTGTCAGAAGATGCATAGCAAAATAGTTCCAAAAGTAAAGCGGGGAACACACACTTTAGCATAAGTGCAGAAGCATATACATAAAGAATTTGATTGGTCTATAAGCAAATGCATAAGGAAATGGACCAATCAAATTCGTTATGCATATGTTTATGCACTTAACAAAAGTGTGTGCTCTCCGCTTAAAAATGGGCGCAGAGGCGCGCAAAACGGCCTTTTGAAATGGTATAAAGATACAAGGTGAAACATCGCGCATGTAACCAATTTTTGGGGGCAAATTGCTCATTGGTTCTTCCTGCATTCAACCGCGCGATGATTCGCAGTTTCAAGGATGGGGCAAAATTCTGATTGGTCAATTCGGTAATTGGGGGCCACTTCTGGTTGGTTGACACTGCGCGTCCACCGGATTGCTTCACCTTGTATCTTTACACCGTGATCTCCAGTCGAGTCCGGCCATCTCACGCGTCCGCGACGAGCTCGTATTTCATGGTCGTTCGAGCGCCTCGAGCGGTCGTACGGTGGCTCCCGCACGAACGATCGAGGGGGATTTGTCGAAGGAGCGCGTCGTCGGGACCGCCGTTTATTCGTCGAGAGTGCGTCATTTATGTGTTGACCGAGACGGTCGGCGGAAGCGGAGCGTTTAATCGAACCCACGGACGCAGCATAGTCGAGTGAGTACTCCTCGACGCCGCCGTCGCCGCCGCCGAGAGTGATCCGCGCGCGAATTCGCGCTGATAACCGCAAACCGGAGAGTGTATTAAATCGATCGGCGAGTTCGCGAGGGGGCTGGGGGGGGCGGGAGCGGGGGGGGGGGAGGAGGTACCTCGGCCTCGGCGACGATCGACCGCGGACACGCGAGTGAGTAACCGACCCGCGGATATTCGACGCGACCCGCGATGGTCCTCGATCCGACGACTCGATCGTATTTCTCGGGGCGTTGGATCGCGTCGCGCGAAATAAATATGGAGGCTGTGTGTATATGTGTGTGTGTGTGTGTGTACGCGTGCAATGTGTGCAATGTCGCGTTTGCGCGCACGCGCGCGCGTGTGTGTGTGTATACGTGTGGATGTTTGACGCTTTGACTGATGAGAAAACGCTAAACCTTCGACCTAGCGTGTGTTACGACGTTCTATATTTAACCCACGATAAGAAATAACGAGATCTATATTGATTATATGAATAGACGCCCCGCGATCTAGTAATAACGTAAGCTATATTGGTAGAGTACGTGTGCGGGAACGTCGGTGCGATATTCGCGAACGTATAGTTTATCGTGCTGTGCGACTAATAGGTAACTGCATAAGTTGCAAAAGTTTGGTGGAAGATCGACTTAAGTGGACTCGTGTAAAAGTTTTTACGTTCAACGTTTTAAGATTGCAAATTTATTGACCAAGCCGTAAGATTTTATAGATATCGATTTGTAGAATAGGATTGCCAAGCTTTTATAGTATATGAAAAAGCAACTCAAGTTCTTCCACCAAACTTGTCAATTAAACACGTACGATTGCAGGTTTCTCATACCTGTCGAAGCTCAATTGTATTATCTGTATCAGATTAGTTACATTATACAATAACAGTCTTGTCGTTTGACAGGTATGAGACGCAAGAGCGAGAGGAACAAAGCAAAGGGATCTCCAGAGAAGAAAGTTGAGAAACCGACGAGGAAGTCGACGCGTAGGCGCAGCAGGAGATCGCCTTCTACCTCGTCCGAGCAGGACGTCACTATCGTCGAGGATGCGGCCAAGCCCACCGGCCAGGTCATGGAGGTCGAGCCGGAGGCGAGCGTGCAGACGCGCCTGCAGAGCAAGGAGCAGCAGCAGACAGGGAACGAGGAGAAGGTCTCCTCCAGTGACATAGACATAAAGGTGCACTCGCCCGAACGCGAGGAGGACAACGGCGGCTCGGTGTGGAAAGTGGCGAGAGCGGATGCGTCGCCTGGCGAGATACAGAAGTTGAAACTATGTCGGCAGCGCAACACGTCAGAACCGTCATCAGACACACCACCGTCGGGTAGGAAGAGTGTCAAGTCAAGTAGCAAGTGGCAAGAAGGTGGTGAGGGCGTTGCAGAGGAGGCTGACTCGGCGGACGAGCAACTGGTTTCTTGTACAAGAACGCTCAGTAGCGTTGAACAGCCGAACGATCCCTCCTCTTCATACCCAGGTCAGGACTCCAACGAAGAGGTAAGTGATAGCAAGGAGATCCTGCCTGAAACCACTTCAGCCAACTTGTTGTCTGACGATAAACCAAACATAGATCAGCATGGTGAATCAAATGAGGCAAATTGCGCTGCCCAAATCGTTGATAACGAACCTGGTAAGCCGGGTAGCACGACAACCGCGCCGACTCCTAGCGCGAACGGTGAGGAAACCGCCGCCGCCGTCGCCGCCATCGTTACGGAAGAAAACCCTGTAGAAGACATCGATGAAAAGCCAGCGGAGATATTTATCAAAGAGACTAGCGTGGAAAATGTTCGTAGAAATACAAGTAGCGAAGATGAGGAGGAGGAGCAGCAGCAGCAGCAGCAGCAGCCGCAGCCGCAGCAGCAGCAGCAGCCGCAGCAGCAGCAGCTGCAGCTGCAGGAGGAGGAGGAGGATGATGATGAGGAGGAGGAGGATAAAGAGAAAACGCATCGTCCGGTGGACTCGTCGTCCGATTCGAACGACGAATCGCGCAAAAGAAGTAGAACTAGTAGCGATCGAACATCACCACGCATGACTCGCAGAAAGCATCGAAATAAGTACGGAGATTCGTCCAATTCGGAGACACCTGATTCCGAGGACGAACCTATTGACAGAAAGGTTTCTGAACCCTCTGCGAAGGAGGAGGAGGAGGAGGAAGAGGAGGAGGAGGAGAAACCGAGTACGGAATCTGCGCAAGAGAATGATAAAGAACGATCGGTGTCGCCGGAAAGAACAAATTCTCATTCAAATAATGTAGAAAAGGTACAGCATAGTGAAAAGATGGAGCATAGTGACACTGTGGAAGTTCAATCGGAAGAAAATGTTATTGAAAAATTGGAACAGTCTACACCGGCTAGCACTCAGGTGGTCGCTCACAAGCCCGTTAAAGTCAACTTAAAAAGATCATTGTAAGCACAAATATTCTTGAGCAATAAGTATCTTTTCTCGACAGGAAAGTTTTATTTCTAAGAGAAATCAAATATGATAGATACTAATGAAGGTTTCCAACGGTGCCGTTATATTTTCAGAATGAGTCAGTTTTTATACCTCAGATTTTATATCCGAATGAATCAAAATATCAGTATTTAAGAAAATTGAGTTATAATTTCATTACGTCAATTTCTTGTCTCTATTTTCAGCTCAACAAGGATATTGTCCGATAAGAATGAAGTGAAAAGAGACGATGCTGATGCAAGCAACGAGAACGAGTCCAATAGTCAAAATAAGGTACGACAATTTATAATATTTTGCCGGACTTAGAAGGATAATATTTGGCATTATACATATATTCGAATAATGTGCGTTTCAGGAAAACGGCAGCGAACAGGAGCCGAAATGTGTGCCGAGGAAACGTCGATGGGGCACCGCGCTTTCCACGGATACCGCGCCATCGTTTTCCATTTCGACTGATTCGCTCAAGGTTTTGCTCCATTTACATACATTACTTTCGATTCTTCACTGTCAAAATTTACTAACGATAATAACGTGATAGGCTTTGGTGCCGGGTGCGAAGCCGTTATCCATCAATGAAGTTCGTCTCTCCAAAGACGACGACGAGGACAGAGATCGGCATAGAAGTAGCGATAAACGGCACAACTCGAGCGACGTTACCAACGATAAGGCGATAGACGAAAATTTGCAGAAAAATGGCGCTGCCAAAAAGGGCAATGGAAAAGTAGATAATCACATTGGTACGTGTATTTACAATTGGATAACGCCTGTAAATTTAATCATTATAATTTCCTCTATCTATCATTTCTATTATTTTTAGCGGCGAGGCGAAAGATATCAATCGTCAAGGAGACACCGCACTTAAAGTCACCAAGTCCGCCAGCGTCTAAACCTACCAATATTCTCTTGATCAAGAATCTAGTTCGCCCATTCACACTAAATCAGATCAAAGAGCTTCTTTCGCGCACCGGCACCATTGTGGAGAACGGTTTCTGGATGGATCGAATAAAATCTAAGTGCATTGTCGAAGTACGATTATAAATACAGAATATTATGATGAATCTTGGGTCAAATTTTTCACGATTAACTTGATATTGCAGTATTCAAACGAGGATCAGGCCTTTGAGACGAGGCAGGCGCTTCACGGAATCTCGTGGCCTATGTCCAATCCAAAGAAACTTCACGTGGAATATGCTACAAAGGAAGATATGGAGACCGCCCGGGAATCGTCCAAGGAACAACCGGTTGCTCGCAAAGCCGAGCCGCTCTCATCGGATTCGTGGCAGCAAGACTGGAGTCGCGACGAGAAGACTAATACGACTAAGGTAAGGATTTGCGGATTTGTTTCGAGTGTTTTCGGTCAATTTGATGAGATCTGCGCGTATTAGGTGACCGTGGTGAGAGAGTGGGATTTAGGCAAGGAGGACGGCCAGCAACACATCAGAGAGAAGGAACGTGAGAAGAAGGAACACGATAAGAAGCGGCGAGTTAGGAGTCGTAGCCCAACGTTGGACGCGCATCTGTCGGCACCGGCTCGCAAATTTAAGAAGAAGGAGGATGACCCACCTCCAGCCAAGCTTCTGGATGATCTCTTTAGGAAGACGAAGGCGACACCTTGCATATACTGGTTGCCGCTTACAAATGAACAGGTAGATGAAATTTAGGCAGTCACACCTTAGCGTTTCAACATGTTGAAATATTTAGAAGAATGGAAAGAGAAAGTGTTAATATGATTTTTTTTACAACTTTGTTGTCTTCATTTTGTCGAACGAATAAGTGAACAATATACCTTTTTATATGGAAACATTGCAGATAGTCGTGAAGGAGGAGATGCGACGGCAACATATGGCGGAACATGCGCGTAGATTAGAAGAGATGAGACGCGCTGACAGAAACAGGGATGGTCGACGTCGACGTAGCCCAAGAAAATAGAGATCGGTGTATATCGTCGACGACACGTTAAATGTACCTTTCCTCTGACCTGATTTATCCTAAATTTGTTCAAATTGACTCATTCCACCCAAATCAAGTTTTTAATTTCAGATTTCTTGTTATTGATACATATTGTTTATCAGAGATTTTTTTTCTTTCTTCTGTAACCGTTCAAAAACATTTGAAAATTAACGTCTCAACATGTATTCATATTTTGATCTGTTTTTTTGGGGGCATTTCCTTCTGTATTATCTCTTTAATCTCTCTACTTCCTGTCAGTTTAATTTCAGATGACATTCAAATGCACTACTATCAAATGCCCTTTCGACTCCTTATTTCCTTTCCTCTTACATCAGAATTAAACCGTACTTCTTACAGGTCAACGTTTATCTATCCCACAGAGAGCCAATAACTGTAGATCAGACGCGGTATAGTGGTACTGTGTATTTGCGTCGACTGTTCATGGCAAATAATACCAATTTACTCTCTATGTCATGTTCGAAACAACCCGTGAGAGACTCGCACGCTCGCAGCTGCCGCACGGAATCATTTTACAACGTGGGAATCTCTTTGAAGAAAATAGACGAGACACATTGCTGAGTGTGGAATAGACTTGGCGTTCAAGAAAATATCGTTCGTTCCTTCGCTCTTTTCTCTTGGTTTTTTTTTTACGAGTCGAACTCTGACACAAACACGTTTCGAATTGGAGAAATGAAGTTACATGATGCAGTCTGGAGGGAAAACACTGTCGCCTGAAACGCAGAGGAGTATTGTTATGAAAGCAGTATTTTTCGGATTATGAAGACATTGGTGGATGAAAGACGAACTTCGTCTCTGCGTTAAATCTTCTTCATGGTCTGCTTTGATTGCCTCGGACTCAACAATTGCCATTCGACTTCGACAACGGCTACCTGGAAGGGTCGCGCCAGTGTTTAACCGTAATATAGACTAGCGCAAGCTGAAAGACATGTCTGTAAATATAACCAACATTTCGTGGTGTGACATGTAAAATTATTAATAAATCCTAAAAATGAAGAAAACACGCATTGTGTTAGCGTATACTGAGGTACATTTACCGCTTACTCTTTTTTTTTACAATACATCTATTGGAGAATTTGTTATTCGCTAAAGATAAAATATTGAGAGCATGGATAAGTAAATACATTTATGCTTAAAATAAATAATCGCCTATGTTATTGCCATTATCTAATTTGCTGTACAATTGTAGCGTTTAATAAATTATCAACAAAATATCGAAAAACCGCGAAATAGTATACGATCGTTCAAATTTATTGCAAGTACGCATATAAACTTATTTGATAATTTTATTCGTATCAATAATAACAACGCTAACATTGTGTAGGTAATTTAATTTACAAAATGAGAGTACAGGATGGGTGCATATGACTGTTAGACATGCCACGATTACGATTACGCTGTTATTTGGTAGAAAAAGAAGAGACGTAAAATGTAATAATAAAGTTAGTTTTCAATTTGTACATTTTTATTATTTATATATTTAATTTATAATTTGAAAAACACGATGACACGTGCGTTTTCAAAATCGAATGCACCTTTACATCGTTATGCACGCGCGCGCACGTTACTTTTTATTACAAATTTCTCGCAATAATGAACGAACGAATAAACTACGGGTAATCAGACCAGAATCGATTTCATGTGCGATACATTGAGGATTTAATCTTAAACGATGAAACTGAGACGTGACGTGGCTGCACACCGTAAAACATTCTTGCTGCACAAATCTAGAATTTTGAAAGCAAAGACAAAGATAAAACAAGATGCTTATACAGATTTTCGCAGAAATCTAAAATATACGTCATTAACATGCACGCTGTTAGACGTTCGTTAGAAAAAATATTTCTCAAAGAATGTCAGATTGTCGATAACGATATCGACGTCCACTTTCCGAAAACTGTAAACCTTTCGCGTTAATAAAATAAACTATTTATTATGACGATATTTGCAACGATGTATTTCAACAATAACGACGCGAAGAAGTGCGCTATTATTTCCTTATTATTATCGTTACAGATTTTTTCCCCCTTTTTCTTTAACGCGGGTTTACATAATATCGACTATCGCTCATTCTCATTGCGATCAATTCACTCATCATACCACATTCATATATCATACAAGCACTGTTCTTATTATCAGTTTTATTTAATCAACCTTCACAACACTATAAATTTTGCGCACAAACCAAAAACAGGCAAAGAAGCCAATGGAACCTGAAAAAGATTTAATATTTTATTTTTTAAGTGTCAATAGCGTATTGCAGTATTTAGAAAAAATTTCGAGAGAAGCATGCAAGTACCTGTCAAAAGGAAGAATAAGTAAACCATAATGAACGTATATCCGAAGTACAGGAACGTCGAGGTGGCACCTTCAATGTCTAATTTCGTGACGAAGAAATGTATACAATAAATTAACAAGTAGACAGCGGTAAAACCGGACGTAAGAAAGCTGCGCCACCACCAGTGATAATCCTGTAAAAAAAATTGATATCACGATAATGAACGGAAGAGATACGCGAGTACGATTTCCTACAGAGCATATGCATTTACCTCGGCGCAAAGATGGAAATAGCAGAGCAGAATTGTCGTCTCGGAGCACGTGATGACGAGTATAAGGAAAACCAGGAAGAGAAATCCGAACATATAGTACACTTGGCTTGACCTGGTGAAAAAATTACGCGTAAAAGCGTGTTCATTGATAAAAGTATCAACGTGCTACACTTACCAAAGGGAATTAAGTATGAAGAACAACTGTATAAATATGCAGCCGAATGGCAGAACACCACCCATGATGACTCCGGGTATTGGTTGCGTGTAGAAATTCTGCTCTGGAATTTGCCGAGGAATCTGATTCGTCCGTACAGGATGCTCCAAAGCCTGCGGTATTATTCCAATTATTTACACATATTATAATAAAGTAAGATTAATTATAATTACCCTTTTCTTGAAGCCGAAGTAAGCGCCGATAAACGTTAATGGTACGGACACTCCGAACCACAGTGCCAGGAGCGCGATTAGAGTGCTGAAAGGTACTGCGGCCGAGCTCCCGTTCACCCAAAATATCAGATTCATTATGAAGAATAAACTGAATACGATTCTGAAAAGTATAATCTTTGTATAGTAAATTTACGTCAATGATGACATTCGTGAAAAATAATTCGCTTTCAACGCAACAGTCGGTAGAGACTCAATCTCGGGAAATAACACACCGGGTCTTACCCGGGGCTGAGCATAGATGTGAGTAACACGTTGGATTTCCATTTTTCTCCGCCGAAACTCTTGTATATGCGAGCGGCCACGTATCCCGCAGTGGTTCCGAGACAAACGTACAACACCATCGCACAAGTCATTAGCGCGCCTCTATTAGCAGGCGAAAGGAAACCCAGACAAGCGAACGCTGTAGCATAAATTGTATTTTGGAATTTATCATTCGAAATAAATGGGAGAGGAATTCATGCGTTTATGAACGTTTAACTTCAATTAATCATGAATAAATTAATATTGAATTTAATCTAATAAATCTGACAAGAGAATGCAGTTTACCTAGTGTAACTAACGTCATAAAGAATACTTGAACACCGGATCCTAGCAGAACCGAAAGCAACATCCCTTTACGCGGAGGGCGGAACACGTCGCCATGTACCAATTTCCACCCAAACTCCTCTTGTGCGTCTTCTCCTGATTCTATCTGGAAGTAGGCCTGCGTTATCGCAACACAGACAAACGGATATCACAATCTCATAAAAGTGAAGAAAACATTTGGTTACCTTCACCTTTTCATGAAATGTTATTTTATAAAAGCTTGCTTTTGCGCGATTAAATAAATTTTATTTAACGTATTTTCAAATATACACATAGGGTTAGTACTAGAGTTATTTTCTTCATACAATTCCCAAGACACATTAATTAGTGGCAATTTCTCAATGTCTTTTTAAAGAATTATTAAATTTTATGAAAAGTTTTCAGTAGCTGTGTAGACAAAGTTTCGAATAAAAGCAAAGAATTTCTTGGCTTCGCCATAGTCGAATGCATCAGGTATAAACGATTTTTGTAATTATTTTTAATATTGCGCGAATCAGTTGATAAATATTGTGAAATTATCAGAAATATTTTCAAGAATCTATTCAATTATCTTGCGAGAAAATATATACAGAAAGTGCATGGTATAGAAAGAATTGCATGCAGTTGTCGAATTATATAACGACCGAGTAGAGTATATAGATACCTGGTTATATCGCGCGATGTCTTTGTGCAGAGTGCGAAGCATTATCATAGCTACCATGCCAGAGAGGAACAAGACGATTATCAGCGAATTAAGAATACTGAACCACTGAATATTCGAATGCGGCATCGATTCCAAAATGTAATCCCATCTGGACGACCATTTGATCGTGTTGTTTTTCTGGAACAAGTATAATAATAAAATCTCAGCACGATAATGAGAAATAAACAAGTTCTATCAATGCAAATATCCATGCGTTACTGTAAATTCGCCAAGACTTACCACAAACTTTACAGAATACGTATACGTCACTTGGAAAGGCTGATCAGCTGGGATCTCACCGGATGGTATCTCTAATGGTATTTGACCTTCACAATCAACTGTACCAACATGCTTAATACTGTGAGGCACTACTTTTACAGCTGTCAAAAATAAAATTTGTACAATTATTGCAATTGATCCATTTATAAAATTATAATTTAATATTCATTATAATTCATTTGTGAAATTGAACTCTGGTAAAAGTCAAATGTTGATACACAAATACTCACATATGATACGACCACCGTTGTCCTTAAAGGAAGATCCCCATTCCTCCGAACCACCGCTGTGATAAGTTATAGTAAGATTCACATGATTGAACAGATAGTAAGTTTTCGGTTTGTTGTATGGACCCTGAAAGTATACATAAAGAAACAGCCATTAGATAAATTAAATTTTATACTTTGAGAATTTTGAAATATACAATTCGACAATTCGTCCTTACATGTATTGTACAAGTATTTAGCTGGGATCTGGATTCTTTTGAGTAACAACCCATGGGGAAGCCAGTGCTACAATACTGTCGCTCGTCCTCTAGCTGATAACACCACGTTACCGGCATATTATCTGATAAGCGGAATACATTAACAGAGCCATTAACAAGTCGTATTTTAGAACTCTTTTAAACAATAAATTTAGAACAAAAACTTTTAAAACAATAAATTATTCGTATAACTTTCTTCATAAACCAGTGGATCAACTAAAGTTAATGAATCAGCCAGTCATAGAAACGACGAAGTAAATATGAGCTAACTGCTATTATTAGAGTACAAATACATTTCAAAACAGAAACACAACTTGAGAATTTATTTCTACGTTATATACAAACTTTTGTGTTTCTGTAAACTCTTTAATATATCAAAATAAGTATGTTAAAGACAAAATTACATAAATTAGAATTATAATATCGCATTGAAATATATTATCAATAAGATACTAAGAAAATTACTAAACAGTAATAGAAAGTACTTAAAAAAAACGAACTTTTCACTGATACCCTCAATCATTCGATCGATGCATCTGATACATTACCAACTATCCAATGATGTTGATAATTGACTGCTATTCCTTTTCTCAACAACTGCAACTTCTCCGAATTTTCGTCGCCTCCTATATACACTTTTCTGCAAACGGTGGCACACTTGACAGGTTTCAAGAACTCCAACTAAAAGACAAATAAAATGTATTTTTAACTCTTTCCCCTTTCTCGGATTCGAGTGCTCTTAAAAAGACTGTCCTAGATCTTCGCGTCTACCTTGTACGGAGATGGACGTATGCGTTCCCCGAACACAACCTGTCCCAAATTCTCAACTGGAGACTGCCCATCATCGGACGTGCAGAAGTCGAAACTGGATCGTGGAAATAGAATATTAGAAAGTCGCCGCCAAACAAGTGAGAAATTAAACATCAAATGTTAAAAAATTATACGAACATTGTACATTACTTTATTGCATATAACGCGCTAATAGAAAGAAAAAAGTGATGCTACTTACTGACTATATTCGTAAGGTATAACATATTTCTCCGTGTTTAAACGGTTCACGTACAGCTTGATATCAGACTGAAACAGAGACACGAAAGGTACAATTACAAAGTTCCAATTACCGACAGGCAATACTGCAATACTAGGAATTAAAACGTTATTATGTCAACTATGTAACCTTGTTTGACAGTGTGCATTACATATACTATTATGCCGGAAGAAAAAGTAATATACATATTACTTATTATATACGGGCAGCACAATTTATATAAAAATGTACAGCCAGTGCATGTATCAAGATACACACAGCTGAAGAAACACCAAACTCGTCAGGATATTCGTGTCACACACGCGTATATACATATATGTATATATGTATATATGCATATCTGATATATGCAGGAGCGAATTTATATACGTAAAATCAACCGGATTTCCGCATAGGACAGAGATGCGTAGAGTCCCAAGGATACGAGGGACGTGTGGAAGGCGCGAATGCAATTTGTGACGTTACGCATCGACGTCCCGTCGACCATAACCAACCGGCGGATCGCGACTCCGGAGCGATAATGTACCTTGCAGGTCTGCGTGGTCTCGCCCTGCTTGCAGTAATTCACGGGCGCCAGGCCGGGCAGGTAGAAGGCCGCGACGCCGTGGAAGGCGCACAGCGTGCAGAGGAACGCCGCCGCCGCCGCCGTCGTCCTCATCGCCGTCGCCGTCGGAGTCACCGTGTCTCCCTAGAAACGTCTGTCGCACCGCTCGCGCGTCTCCACCGTGATACGTACTCTCCTACATGAAAGCGCTCGATCGCATCGTACGCCGCCGCACGTCCACCACCCGGGGGTCTCTCTCTCGCTCTCGCTGCGTGGGATTGCGCGAAACGTCGTCGCGAGTCAAACGCCGTATCACATCTCGAGCGCTGCCATGACACGTCACGAAGTGCGCGACGACCGAGTCCGTCTCTCGGTGACTAATAAGCAGCCCCCGTCCCGCCCCCAGCCGCGTGACGCCTCTCGCGGCCGAGCGTGGACAAACGAACCGCTTTTCAAACTTGGCGCCGATTTTCGCGAGGTCGACGCGCGCGCGGCTCCTCCTCGGACTCGCGGCAGATTTAATTTCCCTAGAAAGCGGCTGGACGTGAAACCGGACTTGGCTATTTTTTTTTTACTAATCAGGAGCTCGTTCGTGAATCTTTTCCTCCAGCGTGAACTCGTAAAAAGTGAAAAATTTTAATAATATTAAAATATTCAATATTAATATTATATTGTATTGTAGTAATTGTTTTTATCGACATTCCATGCGCATAGCACGGAACACAACCAAAACCAGTCGTAAAGGCGTAGTCGTAAGAATAGTCGACTATGATTGG